CATGTATTTAGTTATTTGTGCAGGACTTTTTGTTTTCTATTTTGAGTAGTATAAATAGTGATGTAGTTGATGATTGTAATCATCTCAAGTGGCCTTAAGTAGCCTATAATAAACATGAGTATTTTCTAGAGATATTATTTTTTCGTTCATATTTCCTACAAATTGATATCAGAGCAGGTTTTCGTTCTTAATCTGGGGTTAGGTGAAGAAAAAAATATGGCATCCTAAACAAATGAAGGTGCTAATTCTTTATTTGTTCTTACTCCATTTTTTGATGGAACTAATTTTGAATACTGGAAGATAAGAATGAGAACACATTTGAAAGCTGAAGGTTTATGGACTATTGTTGCAAATGGCTTTGAAGAGACAAAAAACGATAGTGATCTTACAGCAACAGACATGAAAAATCTTGAGGCTAAGTATCATCAAGATGCAAAAGCCTTGAGAAAAATCCAAATGAGAGTCTCAAGAGCATACTTTGCAAAAATTGCTACTTGTGAGACTGCAAAGATTCTAATTAGTGTCAAAGAAAAGTGTGAGTACTTCGTTGCTATCACTGAGGAGACAAAAGATATTTCTAAGATTTCCATCAAAGAGCTAGTTGGATCATTTCGTTCACACGAGAAGCGAAGACTTTTTCATGAAGATCAACCCAAAGAGAAGGCTTTCCAGTCTAAAATAAATGAGAATTCTAAAATTTCTTAAAAAATCATCAGAAGAAAAATCACAAGCCAAAAAAAAACAGGATCATGATGGTTCTTCCAAGAAGGTTGAATAAAAAGGTCAGAAAAACTCTAGTCTTTTTTGTAAGTTTGCAAAAAGACTAATCACAATGCAGAAAAATGTTGGCACAAAGGCAAGCCCCAATGTAACTGTTGTAAAAGGTTTGACCATGTTGAAAAGGATTGTTGGCACAAGAAACGGGAGCAAACAAATTTTTGTGAAAAACATAAGGAAGAAAGGGAAGAAAATCCTTTCTTTGCTTCTAAATCTGATGCTTCAACAAAAAGCGATGAATGGTATGTTGATAGTTAGTAATCACATGACTGGAGATGAAAAGGCTTGCCTCTCAATTAATAATAACATCGCTACTAAAGTGAAGATGGGGAATGGAGCCTTAGTTGATGCGAAAGGTAAAGGTACTATTTCGATCAACATGAAAGGATGCAGTAAGCAAATTCATGATGTTCTTTATGTTCTCGACTTGGAAGAAAATTTGCTTAGTGTTGGTCAACTCATGGAAAATGGTTATTCTCTTATATTTAGAGATAATTATTGCAAGATTTATGATAAAATTGAGCCAAATCAAGTTACTGTTGAAGTAAAGATGATAAAAAGGAACTTCTCTTTGCAATTTTATTACAATGCATTAAAAATGAAATTGTAGATGATTCATGGTTTTGGCACAAAAGATTTTTTCACTTGAATTTTCATGGTTTAAAGCTTCTCAAGCAAAAGGACATGGTGCAAGGCCTTCCTGAGATACATACTGAGGTTGATACATGTGAAAGTTGTATAATGGGAAAGCAACACATGAAGTCTTTTCCAAAAGGGATGTCTTGGAGAGCAAGTGTATTTTTGGAACTAATTCATACCGACATTTTTGGACCAATGAAGACTCCATCTCTTGGAAGTCAAAGGTATTTTCTAATCTTTATTGATGATTTCTCAGGAATGGCTTGGGCTTATTTCTTGAAACAAAAGTCAGAAGCATTTGCTACATTCAAGGAATTTAAAGCCCTTGTTGAGAAGCAAAAAGGTTGAAGCATCAAAACCATTCGCAGTGATCGATGAGGTGAGTACACAAGTTGAGAACTTGAAGAATATTGCAAAAATGAAGGCATTCAGAAGCAACTTACAGCAGGGTATACTCCTCAACAAAATGGTGTATCTGAAAGAAGAAATAGAACAATTGTTGAAATGACCAGAACTATGATGAATGAGAAAAGGCTGCCAAAATATTTTTGGGCAAAAGCAATGCATACAACAATTTACATCCTTAACAGGTGTCCAACAAAGGCACTAAAGGACAGACACCAGTTGAACCTTGGAGTGAAATTAAACCTTCTGTAAGTCATTTTAAAATTTTTGGGTGTATTTGTTATGCTCATGTATCAGCTGAGAAAAGAACAAAATTGGATGAAAAAAGTCAAAAATGTACTTTTCTTGGTTATAGTGATGTGACAAAAACATATAGGCTTCTCGATGCCAAAACTAAAAAACTTGTTGTTAGTAGAGATGTCATTTTTTATGAAAAAACAACATGGAATTGAGAGGATAAAAAGATAGAGAATACTGCTATCATATCTTCAAATCAAGAAGAGGATGAGAAAGATGAATTTGTCTCTCAAGGGGGAGAAATCCCAGATTTTGATAATGAAGAACCGCCTCCAAGAGGAACAAAAATGTTAAGTGACATTTATCAAAAATGTAATTTTGCCGGTGTTGATCCAGAAAATTATGAAGAAGCAATAAAGCATGATGTTTGGAAGAAAGCCAT